TGAAAGTGTTTTCACGAATTTAACATATTCTTGTATTCATTAAAATATTTTACATCTATTGTCAAACGGCAATTTGGAAAATAAACCGTTTTTCTTTCTGATTCTTGGACCGTAATAGATTGTACTTAATATGAGTTTAACACCATGCTCGGTAGTATCATTGTTTACTTTATGAGATACTTATATAATGCAACTGACACGAATCATTGATTTTCTAAATATTAATGTGACGTAATGTGTCTTTAAATAACGACGTCTACGGAATTTATCCGACTGTTTGTGTGCAAAATGCGGAATGAGTGGCGACACAAGTATGTGACGCCAGCATTCATGCTAGCTTACAGAAATCTAATTGTTTTGACGTAACCAAGGTACGTCCATTTATCAGAAGTTGATAAATTTAGCTTACAGCAGACGATGGCAATTTACCTTATTCTTCAAGATAGTAATTTGAACCTGCCTTAGCACAGAATGTCAGTGCAGAAATATTCATTATAAGGAAATAGATATGATGTTTAAGTAGAAAGAATGATTGATGCAATTGTTTCTAGAAAATAAATTTTAAATTCTAAGCCAAACAAAATAATTCAGCAATTTTATTTACGTATTATCAGAAGTAATATAACATAGTAATAGTGTATGCATGCAATGTGTATCTTGCAAATTCAACAAAAATGAACCTATATAGAAAAAAAGTATTAAGTAATGTTTAATGTGTTAATGTTAAATGTAATTATTTCTGAAACTATTTTGATCGATCTTCGACATATTACATAGGTTAATACTTTTTGACAAGAATGACTTGCTGTATCGATTGATGCAAACAATATGATTGTGCTGGAAATAATAGTTGTAATCTTTGACCTCAAAACAGAAAAAATTGCATTTGAGACATATTTTAAATAACGAATATTTCCGGAGATAATTACGTTTATACCTTCAACTGGGACACTTTGTCTAAAATACTGGTATATTTCATGTTAAACTTACGTAGCAAGCGTTTCATTCTCTCACATCATTAGAAGTTGCTTTTGCGTCTATAAATGTAGTTCGAATAATCTATAGATGGTAGGAAGAGAAAGGATCCATTTCATTTTATAACTCTACACTGAATAACCGTGTGCGGAGCAATTTAAATTGAATCGAAGAGGTGACAAATCAATTATTGTGCACGTTGCAGGGTACAGAAAGCGAAATTTCCACGGAAATCGGTACTCTGTGGCACGACAAATGAGTTTCGCTAGTACTTCATTTGAAATATTACACAATACGAATGTCAGAGAAAATGACATTAGTTTCACATTAAACTTAGACATGGTTACCGCATTGTACATTTTTTTATAAATGTTTCAAGTAAAACCCGCACATGAGCCATAAATAAAGAAACAAGAATCTGTTTTGTAGATAAAGAACTTAATAGGTTCAAGATTGAAAACTTAGAAAAACTCAAAAGAATAGGGAGGAGAAATCTTGAAAAATTTATCGATAAGTTAAATGATGCTTATTATAGTGTTGAGGTTCTGTGTTCCCATTAACTATTAACAAGTTGCAGCGGCTGGTTCTTAACTATTAACAATCGCAGTGGGAACGCTGTGCGATTTTGGAAGAACAAAGACATAAAGTTTTCTCATCCTTTTTCTGTGAGACAGAAGAACTTTGTTTTTTTTTTAATCCAAAACAATCGCTCCGATTCTACATACATGTGTCACATACATGGAGCGAATTTCATTTTACACGACATGCACAATTAAAAAGAAAGAGATATATTTATTTGACATTCCTGTCGCGATTTCTTAGGATCATGCAGCGATCGTTGTGATGTTGGCTCTGTAGTTTGGCAAATGACGTAAGATCATTGCCACACCGTTCTGTCAATCGCGCAGATCGTCAGCGTTAACCACCGCCGCGCACAGTGGGACGAAACGCTCGATGACGATTAAAAATCGATTCTCGTAATGTTGAAAATTAACAAAAATTTATGTGATTCGATAGGGAAATAATTGTAATATGATGTGATATGATGTGATCCATGTTTCGGTATTTGTTTTCGTTTTTATGTCATTAATGTTTAAATTCAACGGATAATCACGCAAGTTACCAACGGAACTGATGCTCAGTAACTTTAATTTATAGTCCTGTGAAATATCACTTTGCAAGATGTAGTTTAAATTCACTGTCTAGTTAACTATATGGATATCAATTTTATTACAAAAATAAGTTTTTAAAAAGATGCAATGGTTTGAAACGGATCTTATTTGTACCACGTTAAAGAGTGAAGCTTCCTCTCTTGAGAACAAAAAAATTGGGTGCTGCAGGGCGCTACCTTGTAAGATATTAATTATTCAATTTGGGAGTGGACCCACAGAGGCGTCCTAAACATAATAACTAATTATGCGAAAAATGTTGATTGCGTCTGGGTGTATAACTATGATCTTTTACTTAATATTTTTTTAAGCCAAAATGTTACTAAATGGCGCAGTTATACACTAGTTTCGGAACTTCTTTTCATAAAACATTCATTATTGGTAGACTCGATTGTAAACAATTGAAATATCCGAAGATAAAATGGTTAACATTTGTTTCGATAGATGCAATACGCTTTAAGAAGATACGCATTTCCATAACTAAGGAGCAGTAAAATATTTGCTGCTCAATGAATTGACTCAAAAAGTGATCGTTATTTCGTCTCAGAATTAAACTTTTGTTATAAACGTAGAGACGAGGTATAGTTCTCGTTATTGAAGTAAGTGACCAAAAGGTACAAAAAAAAACAACAATAATACAACCTCCTTATATCATAAGAAGTATTACAATAAAAATAAAATTGATGTATTGATGGAGCAAAAAATTTATTTTAAGTAGAACGACTATAATCTTGCGTTGTGTATGCGCTCACAGATGGTAAAGGAAACATAAATATACAATGTATTCACAAAAAATAATACTATTAAACTGATACTGAACAAAGGGACAGTGATTACAAGTGAATATTTAGACTCTCAGTGTTTTAATCCCGTTTAAATTGGTACAATATACAAAGACTCTATAATAATGATAAACTCCAAATTTCATTAAAATATATAAATCAGCA